TGGTATTTGGAATAAAGGTTGTAGTATCAATTAAGATCAGTCTATCGAGCTTAAGATTTGAATTAATGTCGAAAGAAAAAATGAAGAGGCATTTAGGGTCGATCTTGACCTCGTTGAAGAATAAAGATAGCCAAAACTTGACTTGTAGCCCACCAATAAAAGGTAGCCAATTATTATAATAAGAGTGTCTGTAGAAACACATCAAGAAAGATGACCTGGTACTCAAAAAATTTTAAACCTCAGAGGTAAATGACAAAAGTGGCAAATTGGCCCCAACATAAGAAAGACCATATATTATTAAAGAGGTTGTTTATGATGCAACCTATAAATTACATGATCTGAATGGTAATGTCATCACAAGGACATGAAGTGTAGACAACCTAAAGGTTATCAGTAACTCAGCATAAACTGAGCTTACACTTGTATTATTTTATGAATGACACTACCACCCCAAGTATGTGAAATACAAATCAACTATATTACCAATAGATTGGAGTAGATCGAGCCCACACTTATTATTTTGCATGCAAGCATATAAATTGAATTATTTTTAGTAAACTTACCTTTAAGTGATTCAAAGAAACCTAACCTAGAAGTTGTAATTATATTCGTTTGATCCCAGTAGTCCAAATTATTTACCCTTAGATCAGTAACCCATTCTCAAACTAATGCAAGTAAGAAAGAAATAACAATAAAGTCAAGCTAAAATTAAGAAAATTCTCTTTTTTATTTCTTTATAACAAGATACATCAGTTGAAGTATAGGTTTTTTAAAAAAGCTAACTTCAAAGTCAAAAGTTTACAAAATTAAAAACAAAAAAAAATTATAAAAATCATTCATCAGTAGCAGTAGTGACAGGATAAGTATTCTCATCAGTAGGAGCAAGAAGGATGACTTCAGCTTCAACAACGTCCACATCTTTCTCTTTTATCCTCATGGTAGCCTCCAACTCTTTTTCTAAGGCCTTATCTTTATCTTTTTTTTTTTCTTTTCCTCTTTAGGCTGATTTTGACAAGTCTTTGATTTGATATTGTTAATGGTAATATTAAAGAGGTCAAGGTTAAGAGAGAACTTGAATTATACCTTATCCTTAGCTAGCTAGAAAGTACCAAGAACATTTTTCTTGGAGAATTCTACCTTGAACTAGAGACATTCATCGGAGGCTTTATACTTCTTTATATCATTAATCTATAGCTTCTTCTTTTTTTTGTCTCGAACCTTTAACTTAAACCTTAGCCTTGCAATTTTGGCCTGACATCATTTAGTTTTAGCTTAGCCTGCTCCTTCATTGATTCAGCTAAGACTTTATCCATCGAGATGGCTTTCAGCTTCACTGTCAACTCTTCTACCTTTCTTTTTAACTCAACCTCTTTCTTGTGAGATATGCTGAGACTTGATCTAATGCTGCCCATTACCTCCGAACTCTTCTTATGCTCATTGACAAAGATAACTATATCTCCTTTAGTCAATAGCATATACCCCATGGCAAGATAAGCTTGATAGAGAGCTTGGCCGCTATTTTCTATAGGGTAAGATAAGAACTTCTTTTGGACTATATAGAAAAACCTTAGACTTAGAAAAATCAAAATAAAAATAACAACAAAAAATTGAGCTGAGTTCAAAAGATACTCATTAAGAGGATAAATCATAACCTTCTAAAACTTCTGGCAACCTTAAAGTTAGAGATGAGGTTATCTGTTAGAGCAAACTCTAACTCTATGGATATTTTTTCTGAGCTAGGCCTCAGTACTCTAGCTTCGAGATTCATAAGAAAAAAAGATAACATCTTCACCCATGATCTTTTGGCTGAAAGGGGTGGTGTTCACACAGACATGGAGAACAAGTCTTGATCTATCCTAGCTTTTGATTTTTGACTTGGAAGAGCATGGGTATTGCTATATTAATCACCTTGTCTCTCTCATGGGATGGGGCCCCAAGTTGAATCTTTTTTTTTCTTTTTAGGCGTTAATGAATGTTGGTACAAAGAGATGCAAAATCCTTCTCAGCTTCAGTTATATCTGTAAAACCTAGCTAACAGTTAGATGAAAAATTAATTTAAAACAAAACCTTACGAGATTATCTCAAACCTACCCCAATACTTGGTCATGTTTATTACTTTCGAGGAGGTTAGCCTATGAGTATCGATAACGAGTTACCTCATATGCGTAAAATCTAAAATTTTATTTTTATTTGATAGATCAAAGATGGAGAGGGCCACTGATATGTCTACAAAAGAGCTAGATGTACTCTTTATTTCTCAAGCCTCAACTTTGGGCTCACCATCTTTACTAGCTTTTTATTTTTTGAGGTATAGGAAGAGCATCTTCTAATTTTTATTGAGCTCGAACAATCGACGAGAAATTTTTTATTTAGCTAAGTTGTGATATAAAATCACCTACTATCACTAGGATATTTTTTAAGAAAGAAGAACTCTCTGAATAGATAAAAGGAAGGAATAATATTTAGTTGTTAACAAAAAATAATAAAAGTGACTATGTACCAAACAATATTTAGAGTGAGTTGAGTGATGGTTAAATTATAAGAATTAAAATTAAAACAAATAAAACATGAAGTGGAAATCTCAGACCGACTACAAATGAATCTCAGTAAACGTAGAGCTGATGTGGCTTTAGTTTGTTAGTAACTCGACCTGAGGAGTTTAGCGTCATTATGCTATACCCCTATCTGAAAAAAAGAAAAATGGTACCCAGAGCTCGAACGTGATAAGTTGAACAATGTTAAGATAATTTTTAAGATTTATTTTTCCTTTTAGCTCACTTATCATATCCTTAGGGACCATGTCGATGTCACATAGAGTATATACAAGGACCTTAGTGAGTTTGTACCACTTTATAAGACTCTTTCCCTCATTGTCACTTTTTTCGATTGAGGTGCTCTCTTTCTCTTATCCCTCATCAGAACTTTCATCATCAAAAGAATCTGACTCTTGGTTGAGAGATGGATCTTGAAGAAAAATAATGGATGAAAAGCAACTTGATCCCAAAGAAAAAGGGACAAGGTGAAGACCCCTCAAGAGAAGTCTAGATGTTAAGAAAAACTAATTGAGAGAGAGAGTAAAAGTGGCATGAGATGGAATAGATTAAACCTCAAAAGAGAGAATACTCAAATAGGAAAGAAGGTCAACCATAGAAGATGGACCAACCTTAGAGATAGAAAAAGTAGATGGATTTTGAAGTTTAAAGTTGATATAAGCAAATAGCTCTTTAGTGCTTAAAACTCGCCCTCCTCTTACTTAAGCATTCTCTTCATTACGTCGCTGTCCTTTCTCAGACATCGGATTAAACCAATATGCCATTTTTGTATAGTTACAACTTACAATAATAGGGGGAATCAGGTTGTCATCCTATTGCTTTTTGCTAACCTCCCTTTTGTTCTACCCTATAGCTCTTAACCCCTCCAAAACTCATACTAGAAGACATGGTTAGAAATATATACATAAACGGGTGTAGAAAAAACTTTGAAAGCAAGAAAGTTGTTGAGATTGAAAATTTTAGGTCGGATTGAGAGTAAAGAAAGTGAAAGATAGAAAGCTGTAGCCCTACCAGTCCTTTTACATAGACGTGCTTTAGCACAAAGGGATGGCACAGTCTACGCCACATGTCAGACCACAGGTAGGCAGATGTCTTTTCATCTTTTTACTTTAAATTTTCTCACTTAAATCGTCTCTCTCTTCATTTAATGCTATCAGATCAGCCTAACCGATCGAACCCTAGATCGAATAGGCCAAATTGAACAACTGTCGAGGGTAACCCGAGAGCTCGGTTCACTTTCAGGGTTCAAAATAAAGGCTAAGTCCAAATTTTCAAAAGAAAACACAAGTTTCACCATGGCAAAAAAACTCCAGCAATAATCTTGAATCACCCCAGATAATTATCATTTCAGCAACCTTTAAATCGATTATGCACTCATTTCAAAATACACGCATGAGATCGAATAACTGTCAGGTCGGACTGTGGCTCAAAACTAGTTGTCTTCTAAGACCGACCTCCCCTTGCAAAGTCAGCCTTCAAAAAAATATGCAACCACCTGCCCCACTTCGAGGATGTTGGTAATAAATTTGGTTATCTGATACCTATACTGCTTGATGGGGGACAGAGTTTTAAGGGCATATAATGGTGAAAAGGACATAGTAGTCTTTTTTTCTCAAAGTCTTCAACAAACAGAGTATCTTGGTCATTTGTGTTGACTTGACACGTCAGGTCAGTCTGACATGGTCAGTGCTACCTTAACTCAGCCTTGTCCTAATTGTGCCTTTTTGCCCCCCTCAATTTATTTATTAATATGGAGACTCAAGCATCATGAAATCATGTTCATTTAATTCATCTTTCCCTTTTCTTTCTACTTGCTCACTTTCTTTCTGACCTATTCTTTATTGATTTATACGTCGAAATGCAAATGTAAAATTACCTTTCGCTTTTACCTTTAACCGACATTTTTTTTTGCATTTACATAAATACCCTCATATTGGAGTTCGACACTAACATATTGGTTAAGTGAATTATTCAAATTGACAAAAATTAAATATTTTATTTTTAAAATTTAAATTCAATTTTGATTATCAATAATTTAAAAAAATATAATTTATAAACTTGATGTAAATCAGCATTACCTTCGTCCTCAAATGAAGTAGCCTTATTTGATCTAGTTTGTTTAAAAAAAAAAAGTTGACAAAGAAAGCCCGTGTGAGATATAGCAACTGCATTCTTAAATTCACTTAACAGGATTTTAAAATTTACTAGTAATATATAAGCCTTTTTGGTGAAATTTATATGATATCAAAAAAACAAAATTAATCGATTGTTCTGATACTGGTACATTTTTCTATGTGTAGATGTACCAGGAGCCGAGTCGGGGACAAACAGAAGGCAGTCTTTCCGAAGATTATTTACTTTTGTAGCTTTTCTTTATTTAACGGTTAACCTGGACTTGAAACAGTTTTTCATTGTTAAACTAAAAAAGGTTGGCTTTGGGACAGAGAAAAAACAGCTAATTTGCTTGTTGAAACCGACTCTAAACAGACACAGAATGTGGCTTTGTCGACAGATTGCTTTATAGTCAGCAAAACCCACTTTCTGTGCTTCCTTTGTGAAAAAAAGAAAAAAAAAAGCCGTCAAATTTTTTTTTCCTGAAGCTATCCTTTCCGTGAAAATTGAACTTTTAAAAAACAAAAACTTTGTTTGAGTATTTGTTGGAAGGAAAATGTCGTGAAGCTGACCTGGGTGGGCTCTTTCTTTCTCAAATTATTCATTTCTGAAGTATTTTTTCTATCTTTTTTTAATTACGAATGCCTTTCTCTCTCTGGTAACTAAGGCTTTTTTTTTTTTTTTTAATGAGAACTTTATTTTTAGATTAATGGGATTTTACAGTTCATGTCTTGTCACCGAAAACGCGTTGCGTTTCCGTGTTAGATTTCTTTTCTCTTCATTGTTTTGGGTTTGTTTAGTGTAGCACCAGATCTGCATTTGGTTTTGTACGAAACTCAAAACCAAACATTCTTTCCTGGTAACTTCACATTCCTTCACTTTCTTGTCTGCTTTATTCTTTCTAGATTACTCCTCAATGCTGGCAGCTTAACTGAGCTGTCTTTTTTAGCAAAATTGGAATCATATCCATATCTTGTAGCTATAAAATGTGTGAAAAGATTCCATTTTTATTCCCTTCCCATATTTTCTAGCAACATTGTTTAATTTTGTATTTGGAAGATCAAGTTTTTTCTCCTTAATTTGCAATTTGGATCTTGTGGTGTTGTTTTGCTGGATCTTACGCTGGCATGTTTCTTTTTCTTGTTGGTGCTTAATAATTGTACGTGTTCTTCAATGAAGCTGCAGATCAAGGGGAAACTTCAGAGTTGCTTTTGAAAAATAGTTAAGTGAACTTACAATTCTTTTTTGGATGGTGGTTTTTTTTTAATTTGGGGAGTTAGTTCATTTGACGACTGCAGTTGTTTTTGCAAAATAATTCGGTTCAAGTAAATTGGAAGGAGGGGCTTTGGTTTTGAGATTTGTGGGAGATCTTGTTCATTTGAAGCAAGTTGCGTTTTGATTGAGTTAGACTGAACGTGGAAATGGGTTATTGAGGATGTTGGGAAACAGTTTGATTTTGGGCCCAAGGATTTGGTAAGCTGAATTACTGGTTCAAAAGTGTAAACCTTGTTGTGGTAGATATTATGGCCTCTGGAGAAGGCAGGCGTCGTCGTCATGATCTGGTGCCGCTTGCTGCTTTGATCAGCAGAGAGATGAAGAATGAGAAGATGGAGAAGCCGACTGTGAGATACGGGCATGCGGCTCAGTCTAGGAAAGGAGAAGATTATTTCTTGATTAAAACGGATTGTCAGCGAGTACCTGGGAATCCTTTATCTACCTTCTCTGTTTTTGCGGTAATCTTTGCGATTTCTCATGCATATTCTATTCTGTCTTTTTCCATCTCATGAAAGCCTTACCTTTGAACTGGCATTTCTTTGTCTAGCTGCTGTCTCAAAAATTTGATCTTTGACATGCTTGGTGCATTGTGATAAATTTTACTGCCCCATTTTTTAGATCAATGTTGTTCTTAGGGATGCTTTGAATCTATTAAATGTTTTAGTGGAAATTGCAACTAATCATTACAATATGCAAGGTTGATTAGCTTAGCGTTTGGTTAAGTGTTCAATGCTTGAGCAATTATTTTCATTTATTGGTTAAATTCAAGTATGATACATACAAACAAACAAGGGGAACATTATACATTCTCTAATGAGTTGTAGTAATCTCAGCAAAATTCAATTGTATATGTTCAGTGCTTGGATGGTTTCTTCATTAATGTCTTCACTTCCTCTGTGATAGTAACTATTTTCTTCTGTTTTCAGATCTTTGACGGGCACAACGGTAATGCTGCAGCAATTTTTACGAGGGAGCACCTCCTGAGTCATGTATTGAGTGCTGTTCCCCGTGGCATTGGGCGGGAGGAGTGGCTTCAAGCTTTACCTCGGGCATTAGTTGCTGGATTTGTGAAGACAGACAAGGAGTTTCAGAGTAGAGGCGTGAAATTTAGCCTTCTTCAGTCTTTGCTTTGTTTCTGAATTGGACTTAGCCTTCTATTTTTTTTGTACATTTAGATAACACTATTTCTCTCTGTCCTTGTTGAATTGTCTCCAGGGGAAACATCGGGTACTACTGCTACATTTGTAATAGTTGATGCATGGACAGTGACTGTTGCTTCTGTTGGGGATTCTCGATGCATTTTAGATACTCAGGGTGGTGGTATCTCCAGCCTTACTGTTGATCACAGACTTGAAGAGAATGTCGAAGAGTGTGTCTCTATTTTGAAAAGGTTCCTTTCTTCCATTCTTCTGAACAGAATTCTTAATTGGTGCTGTTTTCTTGTGATGTTAGGAGGGAACGTGTCACTGCAAGTGGGGGTGAAGTTGGAAGGCTCAGCATTGTTGGTGGTGCTGAGGTAGGTACTTTTAGAGCTTTAGCTTTCTTTTTTCTTCCCTAGTAACATGTACTGGAGTCACTTACAGTCATGATTTTTTTTTTGTCACTAACATTTTGTTTCACTTCATTTTCCTGATCGCCACAGATTGGCCCTCTCCGTTGTTGGCCAGGAGGTTTATGCCTGTCTAGGTCAATAGGAGATATGGATGTTGGAGAGTTTATAGTTCCCATACCATATGTGAAGCAAGTAAAGGTAAGCTTATGACTTTGTTCTGTGTGCTTGTTGAATGTTAGCGTTACTTTCTCATTTCACATTGATGTGCATATATACTTATTTAAGATTGAAAATGCTGATATTTCTTATTATGTAAAAGCTGTCAAATGCGGGTGGAAGGCTTATAATTGCTTCTGATGGCATTTGGGATGCACTATCATCAGAAATGGCAGCAAAATCTTGCCGTGGATTGCCAGCTGAACTTGCTGCTAGACAAGTTGTTAAGGTGATTTAATTCATTGCTGTGCATCTTTTGTTACCCTTATCTTAAACCTACGGTTTTCCTCTTTTCCTAATAATGTTTTGATGATCCTTGTTTAGGAAGCATTAAGGACACGAGGGTTAAAGGATGACACAACCTGCATTGTTGTCAACATAATTCCACCTGACAATTTAGCACATCCTTTGCCTCCTCCCAAAAAGCAGAATAAACTGAGAACCTTTTTATTCAGGAAGCGATCTTGTGATTCTGCCAATAAACTATCAAAGAAGCTTTCAGCTATTGGTACAGTGGAAGAACTGTTTGAAGAAGGCTCAGCAATGCTTGCTGAAAGGTTAGCACTTGATTTCTCTTGCTAGTTGAAGTTCCTCCTTTCGTTCTAATATTTTGCAGTCAGAACTAAAGTTGCATGACATCATATAATGAAACAAATACCTTATGTACAGTTGGCATGGCCACTTAAATACAATCATTTATGTTAATTTTATTATACTTATACTGAAATGTAGCAACTGTTGCTTCCTTTTGAGCTAAAATATCGATTAAACCATTTGATCATGTGCATTTCAGCTGTAACATGTTCAGTTTGAATAGGTTACATTCTTACATATGCCCAAGGCCTTGGTTTGAATTGTGATTGAGATAAGCCTTAGCTTTCGGTTCCTGTTGACTGCACACAGCCAGACAGCTAAAGGGGCAAGAATGGGGGATGGGAATTTAGTGTTTCAAAGTTGGTTCATCTAGAATACGGATATTCATGTCTAGGTTTGAACTTTAAAACTTTCATTGACATCAACCTTTAATTTGGATGGTAGCCTTTTTTTAGGCCACATCTATAATTTGTTGCCTAGTTAATTTTGAGTGGTAGTTTCTTACATTATACCTGTTCACATCTTATTAATTTCTGTGTCATACAGACTAGGAAATGATGAGTCGGCAGGGCAAACAACTTCTGGACTTTTCACTTGTGCTGTATGTCAAGTTGACCTTGCTCCAAGTGAAGGTATCTCTGTTCATGCTGGTTCCATATTCTCCACCAGCTCAAAGCCCTGGCAAGGGCCCTTCCTTTGTGCTGGTTGCCGCAACAAAAAGGATGCCATGGAAGGAAAACGCCCAAGAGAAGTTAAAGTGGCATAGCTTTTATCTATTATTTGCCTCATTCTTTGCCCCTCAATTCTAATTATTTTGATAGCAGCCCTTTACTAGTTCAGACAATTGTTCGAATCGTAGTATATTGTGCATCAAATGTATATGTAATCCTAGTGAATAATAATGTAAAATCAGCTTATCATGTAACAGGAGCCAGTCTAAGTAGAATATGCACACATCAGCGATTGGGTTGTTTTTAAAAGAACCAATGACCCAGACCGATTTTGTTGACCCGGATGGGTTTGATATGAATCTGGTAAAATGGTATTCGAACCACCACTATTATAGCTCAAAAGTTTCCAATCACTTTCGCATCCAAGCAAGTGGGAGAGAGTTTATTAATTATTGATAATTACAAGCATACAATCAAAACATTTTAAATTGTATCCCAATTTCAAACATACAAATCAAACAACCTAAGCAAATACTCACTATATTGATGTGCATCTTTTCACTTTTTTTTAATTCACTCACAAACATAACAATTATGGACTTTTTCAATCTTTTATAAATTTGTAGAGTATTCACACATCAAACGTTTGGACATAGATACCATATGGATCATTTCATTCTCTTCTATTTCTATTGGGTGTTTATTTGTAAAATTATACAATTCTCTTATATATTTCTCTCATAATTAATACTATTGAGATTTTCACTACTTACAAGTCTTTTCCACCTAGAATCCTTTTACTCTTAAAATTTGTCTTAAAATTTTTTTTATCCATCAAGTAATATCTAGCAAATCTTGAAAAAAAATTTCAAACAAATATCTTTCCAAATTTTTTGGGATTTGAGTAAATATTCTTAATAATCTCTACCTTTACTCAAATTTCATCAAATCATTATTTTTCAGCTAAGTATGATTGGCTCTGCAATGAAAGTCTCGTAACAATATCTTTTATGTGTTTTTAGCTTTACACTAATCTCTTAATACATGAACTCGAACTCCTTCCTTAAATTTTGCTCCTTAGGGTTTGCCTTTTCTCTCATCTTGAACCTTAGCTATGATATGAGTTGTTACATTAAAAGTTCCCAATCAATTCGATATCCAAGCAATTGGAATTGTAATCAAATCGTAAGTCATCCACATAAAAAATAACAATTTAATGTAATTCAACACAACTCAAAGTGACCTACATCAACAGATAAGACAAAAGATCCAGTAGTTATAAAAAATTACATACATAAAATTAAACATTCAAATTCACATCCCAATCTCAAACATGCTAATCAAACAACCTAAGCAAATAGTCACCATACCCATAGGGATCTCTAATTATTCTCTAGTCCTTTCAAAAACATGACAATCATCATACTCATGTACTTTCTCAATCTCCTCTAGTTGCATAGAATATCCGCACATTAAATATTCAAACATACATAGTAATATGGACCTTTTCGTTATCCTCTAGTTGATCTTATGGAGTGTTTACCTTGTAAAATCCTATAACTTTCTTTGCATATTTCTCTCATACATAACCTTATTAAGATTTTTATTCTTTATAAGCCTTGCCCACCAATAATCTATTTTCTTTTAGAATTCTTATCTTACAAGTCTTTTTGTTCATCAAGTAATATCTAGCCAACCTTAAAAAAAATCTTAAACAAATATTTTATGAAATTTTTTTAAAATTTGAGTTAATATTTTATCTAGACTTGTCTAAGAACGAGGCTACTTACCCAAGCTTGAATGCCCGCTCTAAATTTAAGAGGGCTTGGATATGAATTTTAAGCCCTTTAAATGGACTTGGGCTTGAATTTTAGGCCCGTTTAAAAACAAACTAGGCCTTGGACATGAAGTTTAAGGCTTGAGCTTAGCCTAACCCAACCCGAATTATTATTATATATTTTTATTTATATTTATATTACATAAAATAAATAGATAATTGAAAATTTTATATATATACATTAATATTCAATGCCTATATATACTACCCACATTTAAACATAAAAATAAATTAATATAATATTGTTAAAGTTTTATTTTATTGATTATTTATTTTATTAGAGTTGATATTTGTTATTTTTTATTTTAAAAATTATAATATAGGTGGGCTTGAGTAGAATGTTTTAAAAATGAATTAAGCTTGGATAGTAAAATGAGGCCCATATTTTAGGTTGGATCAGACCTAGACAAACTTAAAACTTATTAATATTATGTATAGGTTTGACACGGCACATGCATAGGTCTAATTCTAACTAGCAATGACATGTTATTTTGAAATTTTACCACTCAAATAAGGATTTAAAAATAAAATTGATACTGAAATTGTGAAGTAAAAAATGCATCAGTTAAAAAAGAATTGCATTCTATGAAACCTAAGACACTTGAGTTGCAAAGATGCAACCTTTTATAAAAGATTTAAGCTTCAGCTTAGTGGGTTGGATAATCATTAGAAAATCAAAATAAGATAGGTGAGTAGAAAAAGTTGAGAGTATAGAACCAAGTAACAACAATGTCAAAATGCATATTAGCTCTCCATGAGTCCACCTATTAGTTCTCATTTTGGCATTTATTTTTTCTCTTCATTTTTTTGTTGGTTTTGCTTGGAGTGAGTTTTAATTTTAGTTTTTAATTTTAATTTTTATTTATGTTACTATACAAGATTTTTTTTATTTCTTTTCACAAGACAATATGGTGTAACTCTTTAGTTTATTTAACATGATTACAATATTTATAATCTATAATTACAATATAAAGTAGTCTTCCAATTGGAGACTATTCATCAACTATTCACTTAAAGCCCATTTTTGTGCCAAGTATTCCATGACAATTGGTTGCTTAATTTTTTTTTTTTTTATATATTTAGAATGGAAGCAAAATGCACCATTTTGCTTGAAAACTATGAAAGAAGATGTGAATAAAAATAAGAATAAGGGTCAGTGAAAAAAAAAAGAAAAATCTAGAAAGTAGAAACAAAAGAGAAAGAGTGGTTGAGAAAGAAAAAAACTAGAGAAAAATTGAACAAAAAAATTACGAACGAAAAATATATGGTGTCACAACATCTTAAGGCCCAAGGGTAGCCTAACCCGAAAGTTGGATGAATGAAAAAAATTTGGAAAGACAAGTGTTAAAAATATTTTCAATAAAAACAAAATGAAAGGAGTCACCATTAATATTTTTAAAAGTGTGATTGGTCACCCAAAAATTTTTGTCATTTTAATAAAATATTTTAAAACAGGTTTAAAAAGTTTTAGAGAAAAAACAAATTTACAGTCTGCAAAATCAAAATTGAGTCAGAGAGTTAGTTACACGTGGGAAAAGATTAGCACCTCCATAATGCTTGTTGAATATTATACCAATTGATTTCATGTTATTCTTTAATTTTAGTGAGAATGGTCCTGTTTTACTTAATGTTTAAAGTTAATTCCTTTTCTTCTTTTCTTTTTTTCCTTTTCTCTTTTTTTAAAACAAAAACAAATCAAATTTAAAACAAAACCTTTTTTTTTCTAATTTTTAGATGAAAATGAAAACACTTTAAATATCAAAACACTTATTTCACTCTCCTATAATTAGGTAGAGTTTTGAAAATATTCCTAATTTAAAGGTTTTCAAATTGCTCCATAAAATGAGATAATACCTTTCATAAATAATAATCATCGAGAGTCTTCCTATAATTAAGCAAGATTTTGATGACCATATTTACTTAAGATATTATCTTATTTTAAAACATTGATGACAATATAATATGAATGACAGATAATGAATGCATAATAATATAAAATGCATGTGATGACAAGATAAAATGAAATGTAAATGCATGAATGATTTTAAGGTTTGGGGGTAGATTTGAGGTCTAGGTTAGGATTAGTGCTTATAGTTAGAGTTAGGTTTTGGGGTTAAGATTTAGGTTTAGGTTTAGGGTTACGTTTAGGTTTAGGGTTTAAAGTTAGGGTTTGGGATTTAGAGTTTCAAGTTTGTGGTTTTGATTTAGGGTTTCAAGTTTGAGGTTTTAACTTGGGGTTTCAAAATTTTTTGGGTTTTATGAAAATGGATATGAAATAAATATAGATTACAAAAATACTATTAATGAATTCATGTGCCAAATGCATAAGCTAGAAATATAATTACAAAATAAGGTATTTTTTAACTTAATATCACAAACATGTAATGCATGAAAATTTAAGACAAATGGATCAAACATAAAAAAAAAAAAAAAAAACTTTTTTAACTTTTGAAATGTTTCACAATTGTTTATCATTAAACACAACCAAACAACATAAAAAAACTCACCAAAAACAACCACCAAACCATAGTTTTTCAATGAAACTTTTGTTCAAACAAGTTAAAAACTTGCTAAACATCATAAAAACATAATCTAATACAAGAATCAAAGCATCAAACATTCATAAAACAAAAAGAATGGTTTGGCCAACCTAAAGTCCACTATGGCCGAATCTTTTTCATCAACCCATCATAGCATTCTTAATTCATTCAAGCCAATCTTACCTCATTTACCTTCCAAACTATCACATAAGACCATTTTCACCATAAAAAGTCATTTATCAAACTTGAAACAAACTAAAATAAGAAAGAAAATCTAAGCAACTAGAGTATGAGCCAAACACCATTATATATCACAAAACTAACTCATAAACTAAACATATAATAAATGAACAATTAACTAAGCATACATAGGTAGCAAAGTAAATAAGGAAAACATTTAAAGGGGGAGCCAAAAAGAGGCTCGACCATGGGAGGGAAGGTTGGCCTATCCTCCAACTTGGTTTTATAATAGTGGACTTGTGTTGTTTTGCTTGTATTTCAACTTCAATCCAACTATTGATTAGTTTGATGAAAATTGATTCAAAGTTGAACAAGAAAATAAACTAAAATTTTCAAGAAAATCAAGCAAGGAATTTATGAAATATGATGAAAAATGCAATGAAAAATGAGATGAAGATATTAAAATGCAAAGATGGAGGTTGAGAAAAGCTACCTTCAAGTAAACAAGCAACAATAATTTTTTTCTTCTTTTTCTCCCACATTTTTCTCTTTAGTTGTTTTTCCTCTGTTTCACATTTTTTTCTAGCCCCCTCCTCTGGTTTTCCATGTAGCAAACGTCCCATTTTCTGAAATGAAGAAGAAGCAAAAAAAAAAAAAAATCTTGCAAGATTGAATATGAACGTAGGATAAAAAAACCATTTAATGACTCACATTTCTCTTTTTTTTTTTTCATTTCAAGGAGCCAACTTTCATCA